GGGGTCTGTTCGAACGGGATTTTCCATGCCGACCCGCATTTTGGCGGCTATTTTGCGGGTCGGGACCTTTTGCAAGGTGTGCTAGAGTTGCTCTTATTTCAGTTAATTTCCGCACAGCAACAGTGTGATCTTAAAGAAGGAAAACTGAAGCCCACTCGGCTCCAGACCAAGCCTAGTTTCTCATGGGCCGGTTTCACTGAAAACTCTTTTCTTTTCTTGCCCAGGGCCGGCCCTGGGGCATGGGCGACGGGGCGACGGCCCGGGGCCCTGGCGAGGGGGGGGGGCATGATGGAGTATATACATATACTATAGCCCAGCAAAAAGCAAAATTTTTTTTACAAAAGAATTAAAGAAAAGAAATAGGATGGGCTAGGAGGCCCAGATATAGCTAGCTAGCTAGCGATCGCCGGATACGCGAAGGCCAAGCAGTGCCGTGACTCACGCTGGTTTCTACGTTTCCTCGTCGCCCTCGCACGCCCGTCGGCCTTCTCGCTCGTCGCTCGGCGCCTTGCCCCTTGGCCCTTGCCGCGTCGCCCTCGCCTCACCGGCTCGCCGTCGCCGCCACACAGCAGTCCGGCAGGCAGGCGGCATCCGGTACCGCGGTAATACAGCAATACCTATACGAGTAAGCATCCGACTGGAAGTCAACAAGTACGCATCCATGTTTCCTGTCCATCCCCAAACCTGAATTTGAGAATCTCACTATCTCAGTAGTTTATTTATTCTTTATTTAGTATGTACGTATTCTAATCCAATCTATCAATTTTTTGTCATTCTATATAACATGTCTAGGGTTCCAATCATCCGATCTATAAATTCCTAATTCTTTGTATGCTCTTTTGATCTTTTCTTCATGATTTTTTAGGACATTAGCCTGCCATGTTACCTAAAAAGAAGCAATTGTCGGGTGCTGAAAAAAGGAGGAAAAAGAAAAAAAGTGATCTGAAAATTCTAGCACTGAAGGGTTCTTTGAATAACTTCTTTACATCTTCAAGCAATGTTGATGTTAGTGAAGAAGAAGGGCAAGAAACTACTTCTGAGCATGAAAATCCAGATGTTGAGGTGAATGAAGATGGTGCGAGCACAGGGGAGCAAATAAATTTTGAAGTTGATGCTGACAGTACAATGGAGGAGGAAGATTTGCAACCTTCCTCTAATGATGAACAGGAAGATTCCCTTTCATTATTTTTGATCCAAGAACATGGGAAGTTCTTGACAATAGCAAAAGGAATATTTTAATTGAGAAGGGACCTATTAGAGTACCGGATCTGGAGTTCGAGAAGGACATCATTGGTAGACACTTTTCATATGCTTTTTACTCCAGAAAGTTAAGTAATTTCGTTCTTATTTGAGGTAATCATGTCATCTTAGTTTCATTTTGCGATCTTTTTAGTACCATTGTTTTTTATGGAGTCGGTTCGAATTTGGTTATTATTGTTCTCGATGGAGTCATTTGAATTATTATAGTCATATTTTAAACTAAAGATGTGTGATTGAAAATTACTTTTAATAAGTTATATATATAATATACACATACATATATATTGTCTTAGGACTTAGGACATAGGGGCCCAAGTCGTCGAGTTCGCCTAGGGCCTCCCGAAACACAGGGCCGGCCCTGTTCTTGCCCAGCCACAAAGTAGCATCTCTAAGCCCGTCTGGTGCGCCTCTAGTCGACTACTCCCCATCGCTTCCAAGGCACGCCGGCGGCTGGGGTTTCTTTTTCTCATCCACCGCCACCTGCGGGCTCGCCGTCGGTTAGACCCGATCAGCGTGCAGGATTGCTGTCGTCTACTGGCGAGGTGGTTGTGCCTTGCCCGCCGCGCCCTCGGCTGTCGAGTCTTTTTCCTGGGCGCACCGTCCTCCAGCAGCTCCGTCGCCTTTTCTACCACCGCGCGCCTCTGTCCGTTCGCCTTGAACCACCAAGGTGAGGCTTGGTTCTGATCTTAGTTTCTTTCCCTATTTAAAACTTGGGATGTTTTTCCTTGAAGGCCTGATTATTGTTTAAAGCTCATGTTTGTTGGATTGTAATCTGAATTTTGTCACAGGAAGTTCTGTGTCCTTTGCAAGCCTGCAATACCCGTTGCATTTTTGTTCAGCATGGCCAGCAACTCCGGCTCTGAAGTTAATCAAGGCCAGCTACCCAAGACATCGTCCAGATGCTTGACGGAGAGCTTCACCACGCAGCATGATTTCGAGGTGACCAGTTGCCGGTTGCTTGATGGCATCGGTGTCACCAAGTACGTTCTCTCAAGCCACTTCAGCGTCGCTGGCTTTGAATGGTTTATCAGTTTCTTCCCGGATGGGTGGACTCTGGACTATGCTGGCCATGCGTCGGCCTTTCTGCAACGTGTCATCCGAGCGAACGACACGCATTGTGTGAGGACTAAGTTCACCTTAAACATGCTGGAGAAAGACAGCGAAGCCCAAGTAACCACATTCGATGAGATAGACCATGTCTTTTGGGGGGCAAACCCATTTAATGGCCACGCAAAATTCGTTGAGAAATCGAAGCTGAAATCATTGTCGCGGTCCAACAATGGCTACTTGATTATACGCTGTGTTCTCACCGTGATAAAAGAATCTCGCACGGAGGTTAAGAGGAACACTGTTGCGGTTCCGCAACCGAATCTACAAGACCAGCTCCGGCAACTGCGGAAGGATGGACAGGGAGCAGATGTGACATTCAGCGTGGGTGGCCAATTATTCAAAGCTCACAGATGCTTGTTGGCTGCACGGTCTCTGGTTTTCAAGGCGGAGCTCTTTGGTCCGATGAAGGAGAAAGAAACACAGTGCATTAAAATCGACGACATCGACCCTGAAATATTTGAGGCGCTTCTCCACTTCATATACACAGATTCCATGCTAGTCGATGAGCACTGCAAAGAAAGCAAACCTGCAAAACTGCAGCATCTGCTAGTTGCCTCGGATCGATATGGATTGGATAGGCTAAAGGTGATGTGTGAAAGTAAATTGTCTGAGTGCATTGACGTAGAGACTGTTGCAACAACACTGGTTTTGGCAGAGCAACACCACTGCAAGGATCTCAAAGAAGCTTGTGTTGAGTTTATGGCTCCACGGAATGTTCTGCAAGCTGCCATGGCAACAGATGGTTTCAAGCATTTGGTAGCAAGCTGTCCTTTTGTCATGAAGGAGTTATTAGACATGGTGTCCCGTAGTGGCTAGTCCCGTTAAGAGCTCAAATTATCATATGTGCAAATAGTTATGCAGACTGCTATTTTCAATCCATGCTCAGTTACCTATGACTTGTTAATTACCATGTTAGTGTGATGATTCGTGTTTGAATTTTTGATGATATTTTTACCATATCAGTTTGATTATTAGTACTTCATGGCATAACTCCTGTTTGACGAAAAGGCTGTTTTCCTTTTCTGTAAGGGAGTGCTTGGCTCATACGTTGGCAGTATAAACTGCAAGATAATGCGCTGTTGGCCATGCACTTTATTATTCATTTATTCAGATTTTTGCTGTATGATTGAATTTATTGTAGTGAAAATATTATTCATGTATTATAGTAGTACAATTGTCCAAAATTTAACTAATGAGCTTTGTGGAATAATTCTTGAATGAGCTATACAACTTACTCCCTCCGTCCGGGTGTATAAGTCATTCGCGTAGTTCTAGGTCATCGATTTGAGGAATTAAATATGTGTTATATGTCATGAAAAGTATACCACTAGATTTCCACACGGATGTAGTTTCTAAATATATATTTTTTGTCACATATAATACATATTTAGATAGTTAAATTATCGACCTAGAACTACGCGAATGACTTATACACCGGGACGGAGGTAGTACATTAAGAAGTTGAAATCCACCACTATAAATTCTCTCAACATGCACATTGTCCATGTAAGCTTCCTGCCATGTCAACATTAAGTTTGGAAAGAGCAGTCAATCGATCTGATTGATTAGCCCGGTACTGGCCACGCCAGCCGCGATTTGCGCGAGCGAGAGCTGCATGCATGCACGCGTGGACCAGCAAGTTACTATGCGCGAACGACACAAATCGAAGCGAAGGAGAATTAGTGCAACAAGCAAGCACACAACCAGTTACATCCAAGTTCCGTAGGCTCCGCTGCCCCAAGCCACGCACCCCGGCGTCCACCAGAGCTCCCGGTGGGCAACATGTGCCACCGTCAGCGTCCTCCTCCAACATCAACTGCACCAAAGGTGGGGGCTCTCCTTCCTCTCTATATCCTTAGATCTGAACAAAATTTTCGAGTTAGCTTGACTCGGAAGCTCAGTTCGTGTCTGGTACTAGGAAGCCTAATGTTTAGAAAAAGAAGCTTTGTTCCGCCTCCAGCCACTTCCTCCGCGTCAGCAAGTCTGGTCTGTCTCTCTCACCTACATTATCGAGATACGATGGATCGTGCTCATCTCTCCGACCTGATTGGTTTTGATTAGAAGCACTAGATGGTGAAAAGACATTTTAGTTTATGTATTCTTCTAGAAGGAATAAACAGATGAAACTTACCATGTACTACCTGCAACTACAGTCTTGCATCTCTCTCTCACACACGCATTAGTATAAATCATATTGGTATTTTTGTTGCTTTCCTATGATTTGTAGAATCAGAGAATATAACATAGTGCAGTTCATCTTCAATCTGTTCTTTCATGGCTGTATTATTCCACAGTGACATGAGATCGATCTAATATCTGAGTGGTACCATTGTCGTTCTTCTACTGTAGGTGTTCAAAATAGAAGATTTTGTTTGATCGTTTCTAGGCGTCCGAGGCACGTGTATTTCATCCAAAGGGAGGGAAGTGTTGGATTATAGATGAGTTTTGGCCCATATAAAACAATAATCGCTAGTTAATTTCTAAGCCCATTTAGGTGCATGGGAGGTGGTGGAAAGTTTAGTACCATCTTGCTAGTTGAAGAGAATTGAGACCCCTTTATAAGGGTTGCTCTACCACTTGCCATTGGGAGAGGAGTGGTATACGCGCACTCCTCCTCCGCCGCCCCGCCCCACGTGCGCCGTGGGTTGCGGAACGAGCCGTGCCTTATTTTTGCAAGTCAGAAATGGTTCATTAATTGTGGATTAATTAACGAGTCGACCATGGGCTGTCCGGCTTTCGGGGCATGACTACTCCCTTCTCGGGGGCGCGTCGACTCGGTCGTGGGCCTAAGGCAGGCCCATCTACCTGTCGACCTGTATAAGGAGGCGCTAACCTGTGGAGTGAACACTAACTCACTCCCTCCCGCATAACCCTAACTGTCATCTATTGTTCCTCTCTTTGTGTTGTTTACAATGATCCCATCCTGATGATCGTGTGCACGGTTGGTTAGGAGAGCAGGTGCCTTCGAAACCCTGTCGTTCGAGATCCTGTCCGGGAGACAACAATAAGGTTTTTGGGGAGTGTCTCGGCGATTGCCCCCGATCCATCCCCTTCTTCGTCCTCCTTTGCTTCCACTATTTCCCCTTCATCGACACCATAGTCGTCGTCGCTGCCAAGAAGAAGAAGGCCATGGATGACGCCGAGGCTGCTGCTTCCGCCGTTGCGTTGGCCTGGCCAACCTGAGGGTATGATTTGTTCATCTCCCATTTACTCATTCATGTGCTAGCCTTATAAGTTGTGTTCATAGATGTCTCCATTATATGTATTGTACTTGCTCACATGGTTAGGTATTGATATGAGGTGCATACTGTGATTTGCCATACTTACTGTCCACTCGTGAATTAGATTAATTGACAAGGTGCTAATATTTCCAACAGCAAGGAGCTCTAATTATTGTTTATCTGATATGTTTTCATTCGGAGATAGATGCTGGAATAGTAACCGACGTTAAGTTTCAAGCATGTGCATGTATAATTACAATCAATCGATCTTCTGTAAGGTTAAGCACTTGGGATATTATGTCTTCAAATCTATAGCATCTCTTGACAAATGTAAGAATAATTCTTTTATGTGGTTACAATATCTCATTATATGATTGTTCTAGTTTGATGACACTCATAGTCGAAAAGGTACATCCTTGCTGAGAGGATCAAGTATGGCTTGTTCTGATCATCATTTGGTTTAATTATTCTATGCTGGCTCAAATCCTATTAAAAAAGGTGTGACTAAATGGAGTGTATATGTTGTCCTACTCAGGAATCATGCCATTTTGTACACCTTTGGTTATTCTCTCAAATGGGTACTAGGTTGCATCTCAACTATACGCTCCTTCTATTCTGTGTTAGCGATGCATTCTAATTAGGCAGTAATACACAACTTTTCTTTGGATTTTTAGGAACCGACTTCTCATATCATTCCACAAAAGGTTCAAAAACATATATTTAAAACTGCAAATTTATAAAAGGTTCCATATCATTATTTATCACTATTTATTTTATCCATATGTAATACTACAAATTCCTACAGCAACGCGCCGGGTATCATCTAGTTTACATAGTACATCATGCTTTACCGTACAACCGTGTAAACGGTAACTTCAGATTCATTTATTTTAGACAATTATAGAGTAAACAATTTTACATGATTGTAGTTTATATTTTAGTTTGCCAACTTAAAGAAAAATTTCTCTATTTTAAGAGCAACCATATATGAGGAAAAAAAACAATTAGTAGCTTTATGTGAGATGGACAAAAAAACTTGGTAACCAACCAATTAGTAGTCAGTATTTGGCACAATGCCAAACGTTGTCATGCCAATTTTTGGCACCAAAACAATTATGCTCAAAGTTCGAAAGAAAAAGAAGGGTGTTCAGTAATGTTTTCAACTTAATGCAGCATAGCATGCATCTACCCAATAAAAACTGATGCACGAAAATGGGTGTTTGCCAACTCCCACTACTGAATCCGCCTATTTTCTTCTGTAATTGTTGTTTCTATTGCCAGGGTGTGTTGTAGGAAGTTTGAGGTTAATATGCTGGCGGCTTATGAATGCGTGCACGCAATGAGAATGAGGAAATGTAAGAAACCTCTTTTTGTGATGTGAAGTTGGACATGATGAAAGCATACGATCGTGTGGAGTGGATTCTTTTGGAGAGGATGCTCAACCATTTTTGTTTCTCTCAGGCATGGACATCCATGATTATGATATGTCTGAGGTCGGCGAGGTTCACGGTAAGCTTAAGCTTAATGGAGATTTGTTAGATGGTTTTGCTCTGTTCAGGGGTCTCGAGTAAGGGGATCCGCTCTCACTATATCTATTTTTATTTTGTGTGGAAGGTTTTTTTGCTTTATTGAAACAGGCGCAGCTTGCAAGGGAAGTCCCGGGAGTGTCATTTGGGAGCACGGACCCCATTTGACCCATCTCCTATTTGCTGATGATACCATTGTTTTCTTGGAAGCGTCTGCGGATAATGAATTAAACTGAGGAATATCATGTGTACAAAGAAGAAGCGTCAGGTCACAAGTGAATCTTCAGAATTCCTCTATTTTCTTTGGGAAGAGATGCCACAGAAACATGAAGGATCATCTTAAGCATGTGACACTAGTAGAAAACGGAGCTTTAATACCGGTTCATAAGAGCCTTTAATACCGGTTCTGCAACCGGCACTAAAGAGTGGAGACTAAAGGCCCCCCCTTAGTACCGGTTCGGCACGAACCGCCACTAAAGGCCCACCACGTGGCGTGAGCTCGCGCCGTGGTATGGGGGACCTTTAATACCGGTTGGTGTTACCAACCGGTACTAAAGATATTTTTTCTGAATTTTTTTTTGAAATTTTTGAAAAAAAATTGATTTTTTTTATTTTCAATTTTCTGAATTATTTGATGATTTAGTCTCTAATCGCCCCTCTTAACTACTCAAGTGTGGATCACTCATTCCAAATCATCTAACTTTCCGACCGGTCACCCATCCTCTCACTCCCCCAGCCTGAGCACTCTTAACTTCGGAGTTCTATTCCCCCTACTTCCCAAGTCTGCACTTGTTGTTTTCTGACAAATGTAAGCTGTAAATCCTATTAACCCTCAGCACTTTAGCTTGAGCATTAGGTCAGACATTTCACCGTTTGAGTTTGAAACTATTATTCTAAAAAAAAGTAATTATTTAGTAACACTAATATTTCTTAAATAAGTTTGACCATAGTTTGACCACAGTTTGACCATAGTTTGACCAGATTTGACCAAAATTCAAAAAATTGAAATAATTATTTAGTAACACTAATATTCTTGAGTAAGTATGTAGTAACATTAATACTTCTTGAATAAGTAGTTTGACCATAGTTTGACCAGATTTAACCAAAATAAAAAAAATTAAATTTGAGCATATCTTTTTCTCCTTTTGGAATTTGAGGATTCTAAAAAATTGCAAACAGGCCATATGCTGTCAAAATCGAATGCAGATTTTCGTGCTGAATTTTTTGATATATTATACGTTTTTTTCCGACATCGTATGCAAAAGTTATAGCCGTTTTACATTTTCCCTACACATTTTGCAAAACATGTCGAAATTTAAGTTTTTTAATTTTCCTAACTAGTAGATGTAGTAGTATAACTACATCTCGAAGAATTTTATTTTTAAATTTTTTATCATTTTCTTTTGTATTTTTC